GTTTAGGGTTTACTACTATGGGGCCTATGGCCTATGGGTAAAGGTCCCGAGAGTTGGGATTTCAGGCTTCAGAGAAAGGCCCGGGTCTCTACCACAAGCTCGCGAAGATCTCTCCCCCACCATGGGTAGTTTAGAAGATGCTATCTTGGGGGTTTATATAATTTGGGTTTTGGGTTTTCAGGGCTTAGGGTTATGGGTAGTTTTCTGAACTAGGGTCCACTTTTTGGTCCCCAATGTAGTACGGCACCCCTTTAAAAACGGACCCTAAAAGGGACCTTAATTTATAGAACTACCCACATGTTTCGACCAGGACTTTGGGTTCGGGGTTTAGGCCTAAATGGTTTAGGGTCTGGGGTGTAGGGTTTAGGGTTTAGGTTTAGGGTTCTACTGTAAGTGCACAGGGCTTGCAAGATTGTAGCTGTTGCTGTCAAATGCCTCCATAAACCCCCTAACTAAGCCTCTAAAGCCCAAACCCTAACCCTAGAGCCTACAATCGTACAACCCGATCAGAACCCGAAACCCTGAACCCTGAACAATAACCCCCCTACCCCAGAGCCCCAAATTCCCTAAACCCCCAGACCCCTAGACCCTAAACCGTGGAGCCTTGCCGGCCTTGTGTGAGAAACCCTACATCCTTCAACCTGCAACTGCTTGAGTAAATGGTTGAGGGTTTAGGGGTAATTCGGGTAGTTCTCCAAATAAGGGTTCCTTTTCGGGTCCCAAGTATAGTACGGCACCCTTATGAAAAGGACCCTAAAAGGGACCTTCTTTTAGAGAACTACCCATATAATGTGGGGAAGGTAGCCTTAACCCTGCACGCTCTTTTTTGAGCTCTCCTGTTGAAAATGGGGTCACCTCACCCCAGAATTGCTGCAAATCCTATTGCGCATCGCCTTCTCGCAAGAAGCATGTTTGGGGTGCTCGAAGAAAGCGAACATCTTCCTGAATCGCTGGGATTCCTTATACCTTACCCTTGGCGCAGACCCTACGGCCACGTGGCCTCGGCCCTCGACCTAAAGCACTTCGTCCAGATCGGGGCGGCGGCTGATCTTCGCCACGCTTCCGAGCTTGGCTGAAAGCACGCCTATCGTCTTTGATGAATTGCGGTGGCTGCAGAAAGATGTGGGGCCACAACGGGGCGGGGTTGATGCCCCCACCCCAAGTACCCTTACATTGCCTATTACATGGAGCCCTTACTTGGGGTCCTTGTTTGCGGGTGTCCGCGGCGTCATAGAGGATAGTCCGGCACCGAGAAAACCCTAGCTACTAGCCTTCAGCCGAACATGTTGCCCACTGGAGCAGGACCGCAGGGCGCTTATGAAATATACCTATCAGAGCCCTATAAAGCTTAGTTCTCCAATACCCAACCTTTAAACTTGTTGGGCTCTCATTGTTTAGTAGTAATCTGAAAGTTCAACCTTATACTGTCTTCGCTTATTGGGGAAGTAAGAAAGTTGAATAGCAACCCTTGGTGGAGCTCTTCAACCTACACCCTAAACCCGAGGGCCATCTCAGACCCTCGAGACCACAAGCCCTAAAACCCAAAGGCCCTTACATACCTAAGCCCCTCAACCCTAAATGGGTAGTTGTCAAAATTATGGTCCCATTTGGGGTACCCTAAATAATAGGTGCCGTATTATAAAAAGGACCCAAAGAGGGACCATAATTTTGACAACCACCCAAATGCTAAAGCCCTGACGCCCGAAAGTCCGAAAGCCACACAACCGTGAAGCCCTAAAGTTGTCAAGGAGGCTCTAAACCGAACTCGTCAAGACCCCCTTTAACCCCAAACCCCTAATGCCACACAAAACAAAAGTTGACAAACCCCTCGTTAACAAATAACCTAAAAAACCCAAAGCCCTAAACCGAAAAATCCTAAACCCTCACAGAAAACAACACAGAGGATTACAAAACACGTCTAAATAATAAACCAAGCACGAAAGGAGCCCCTAAACCCCTAAACCCCTAAACAAAAAAAAAGCACCGCGCCTCGGAACCCAGGAGATACGAAGTTACCGGAACAGCCAAGATGTAGGGCCAGCTTCTTCCGGCTTGGGGCTGAGTTTTGAAGGGTTTGGGGTGTTGTTTTGTTTTAAATCGGGAGGGGGGCTAGAGGTCTTCTTCCGGCTTGGGGCTGAGTTTTAGGGTGTAGGGTTTAGGGTTCAGGGTTTAGGTTTTTTTTTTGTTTTAAATTGGGGGGGGGGGGGCTAGAGCTCCTGTTTTTGAGGGTTTAGGGTTGGGACTTTGAGTCCGCGAGAGAGAGGGTTGGGCCTTTGCTGTTTTCTTGTTAGATTGGGGGGGGGGATTCGGGCTCCTTGTTCAGGGTTTAAGAGGATTGGGGCTTAGCTGTGTGTCTTTCAGTTGGTGGGTTTAGGGCCGGGCTCCTTTTTGGGGTTTGGGGGGTGTAGAGTTTAAAGTGCTCTACGCCTCAGAGCCGAAGTTTAGGGCTTGGGATTCTCTTGCGGTCTCGGACACTAGACTTCCGGAAATAGCGGTGGTTGAACAAGAGTGCAGGGCCCCTTTGAGCATGCCACAGGGGTTTGTGGGTTTGCGGATGCTTGGGGTTTTCGGGGGCTTCAGGCTTTATAAGCTTTTGCTGTAAAGACAATTGGGCTGTTTTTACGGGTTGTTTTGTTAAATGTTTGCTTACAAGGTTTAGTGGTTGTGGCTTGGGTATGGCTTGTACAGGCTGTAGTTTGCTTTGGTTAGTTGGCTTCACTTTCATGATTTGAATGGCTGTCGCTTTCCGAGTTGTTTGCAGGAGTTGAAATCAGTTTTGGGGACATGAGGACAAACTAAGTAGCATTTGTTTTGGCAGTACGGATTCGACGGGATTCTACCGTTTTGACTTTGTGTTGGTGTGTTGGGGTTCAGACTTCAAAGGCGGCCAGGATGTATAGATGTCTTTACCCTAGACCCTAAACCCTAAACCGATTCAAACCTTCTAGCTTCAGAAGGGATTCGCCAGAGCTTAGAGGTCAAAATTTGGCTTGCGCCGGGGGTCAAAAGCTTGCGGCGTAGGGTTTTGGGTTTTGGGTTTTGGGGTGTGGCTTCATCAGCGTTTAGGGCTTTAAAAACTCTCCAACGAAGGTTTAGGGGGGTTTAGGGATTAGGGTTTAGGGTTTAGGAACCCACAGGCCCTATATATTGCATCAACTTTACGATGCTTGAGAGCACTGCGTGGCCTAACTTTCACTGCCGCAGCGCAGGACAGCAACCATCCGAGGATCTCCAGAAGCCAAGCTGAAAGCAGGCGTTCTTTAAGCGGTCTAGACGGGTTTGCCCTAGGGTTTTGTAAAGGAAAGGCTGAGTTCTCCATATTGCTGTAAGCTTGATGAAAGTTTTATGTAGGGGTTTATCGGTTTTCTTGGCTTCTGCAGGATTATGCGATGTTACGCGGTTTAAAAGCGTTTCAGAAGAGCTTTTCAGCGAGTTTGCAGGCTTTGTAGTTCAGCGATAGGCACAAGAACCCGTGATTCAGGTCCATTAGACGTCCATGGACGTTATCTTGGTGGTCCGTGGTTTTTTTGTTGCGATTGCAAGTTTACTTGCCGTGATTTGCTGTTCGTTCGGGCTCACGTGAAGGAGCTTTCCCCACAAACAACATACCTCTTTAAAGGACTTATATAAGGAAGTCATAGCAGTAAAACCCTAAAAAGGGAGGTTTAGCCCTAAACCCTAAACCGTAAAACCCTAAAAAGGGAGGTTTAGCAGGGTTCGTACGGAGGATCCCTTGGTTCAGGTTTGCGCGAGCCCTGAAGAAAGTCAAGCAGTAGGTTCCTGGTTTTCCTTCTAGATGTCCCTAAGAAGGGCTTAGGGTTCAGATGGTTTCCTTCTAGATGTCCCTAAAGAGGCAGGTTAGGGTTTAGGGTTTAGGGTTTAGGGTTTAGGGTTTCGATGGGCTAAGTCGGGGCCTACATGAGCAGAGGTGCACCCTAAACCCTTTAAGCCCAAACCCACTCACGGAGCCCGAAGCACCGAAACCAATCCTGTTGTGAACTCGTCTCTTATTCGCACTCAGCCCCAAACAGCAGACCCCGCAGCCCCAAGCCCTGAAACTGTAAAGCTCCGAGTCCGACGTCTCGCAGCCATGAATCCTAAACCCCGAAAGCCTTGAACCGTAAACCTCCGAGTTTGGGAGGTTTAGGGTTTAGGGTTTAGGGTGCCTTGAGGCCTAAACGCCTGAGCAGACCCTAAGCCCAGGAATTCAATCAAGGATGACATGGCCGACGCTCGGGCGAAGGGATGCATCACCAAGGAGGCCTCAGCCATGTGTTGGGTGTCCAGGACGAATTTAGGAACTGGTTGTGCTGTTCCGGACGGATGAAGCATGCGCTGCTTCGATGAAGATAGTCTTGTAGCCTCACAGAGACAATAAGACATCCACTATCTTCTACTTCTTTCTCAAAGTATGCCAAAATTAAACTACAGCTCGTGCGCAACTTTGCAGGCACCCACGGAGTATGCTAGTCAGTAAATCAGTTTGAAGGATGGAGAGCTATGTGCAAGTGATGGAGAGCTATCTGCAACTTCAAAAGATGCAGGAAACAAGAAGCTGGACTTCCTGTGGCACTTTGCTCGAGAATGCTGGACGAAGTCCGCACTTGTTGATGATAGCAGCAGATGTTGAACAGCCTCACGGGTGACAACAGCATGTGCAACCATTCCGTGGTAGCCAGTCGTACGGCAGACACGAACACAATTACTTGTAGCAGCCAGTATCAGATCACTAGACGCCTACTAGAAGTTTGGCACCGGCACCATCACGATCGTCAGATGCACCAGCATTATGACCGGTGTCAGGACATGACCTAATATCCATCACGGGAGACGACGCTGACAGGTCTAGGAAATCACATTAACCGCGTGATGCTCGTAGCACAGCTCCTTTACAAAACCCGAAGCCCAAACGCCCCGAAGTTCCTGCAGTTTTGGCTCAACTGGTACGCTTTGGCTCCAGACTGTGTAACCACCCATCCTCCCAGCGCCTTCGTAGAGATATGACGGGCGACCTGGCATTGGGATTCAGCTGCTGCGTCTTTGCAGGGGTTGGTTTCGGCATCAACTACCTGCCTGTCAAAGGCATCGACACCGGAGATGGGATTTTCTTCTCTGCAGTGATGTCCGTCGGCATCCTAGCCGTAGGCTCAGTCGCCAAACCCTAAACCGGCCTAAACCCTAGAAGCCCTAACCCCGGCCCTAAACCATATAAACCCTAAATGAAAGCACCATAAACCCAAAAAGCCCCGGACCCTATGAGCCTACAATCCAGGGCTTAAGCCCCAGAGCCGTACCCTAAACCCTAAACCTTGAACCCTAAACCCTAAACACTAAACCCTAAACCCAAACCCTAAGCCCCGAACCCTGAGCAGGCTCGGTCACCGGGATGGTGCTGAGCAGCCCCCCTGGGCTTCTAATGCCAAGGCAAGAGCTTTTTGGGGGTTTAGGGCTTGGGGTTTAGGGTTTAGGGTTTAGGCTTGGGTGAGGGTTTAGGGTTTAGGGTGTGGGGCTTATAAGGTTTGGGGTGTACATGAGGGTTGTATATTGAAAGGGTATATATACATATATTTGGCCTTCTAAAAAACCTTATGCCCTATAAAGCCCTAAAAACCCTGAACCTTAAGCCTGAATCCTAAACCCTAGACCCTAAACAGGGAGCTCCTAAGAATCATGAAAGAGGAAAGCTAAGAATCCCCTCCGAGAGTGGATCCTTCCACTGAGAAGGAGCCCTCTTCCAGCGCAAAGAAGAGCTCCATACCGAGGAGGTGGATCACTCATCTTCGACAGTTCAGCTCTCCAGCAGAAGTGAGGGACAACAGACGAGCAGGTTGGAGAAGAGGGAGAGCCTAATCAGCTACTAGGTGAGAAGGACGTTCCGAGCGAAAGCGCAGGCACAGAGTCATCGGTTCTCCGGTAGCCGGGAGAAAAGAAGAGGAAAAACAACCTACTGAGAAGATCACGAAGTATTCGAGCTTCCGCGACGACGAAGTCGGCGATGGTTCTCCTGTAGGGACAGACAGCAAAGTTCCAGGAAAGACTCGAAAGGTTGAGGCCATCTGCTCTTCAGAGGAAGCTCCGGACGTCAGGCCGCGCATAACTACGCTGGAAGATTTCATCAGCGACGTTCCTGAAGAGAGAGAGGAGAAGATGGAGAGGCCGCCAGAGAAGATGCCCGAGACATTCGACATATCCACTCCTAGGTCGCCGGGAGAGATTTAAGTCGGGGAACCTGAGAGAGAGGAAGACAAGGAAGTGGCGAAGCAGGCGGATTTGATGAAGGCGAGACAACGGAAATAAGAGATCAGGGCACTCCCGTTTTCGGTGGAGAAAAGACCCAGTCGGGGTGTGCTGAGGTCAAAGCGGAGTCAGCCTCAGCACAGGAGACAGGCAGGTCGGACTCTACCGAGGAGCAAATCAGGCCTCGGTCACCAGACGTGGCCGTGAGCGTGATGGCAGATTATCTCAATGCTCTGAGCGCATCCAGCGACGTGACTCATCTGGCTCTGTCGGCGTGTGACATGACGGCGGTTCAGTACAGCGAAACCATTGCACCGATCTTTGAAAAGTTGGGAGCTACCTTATCCTCCATGGTGGTTCGAGACGGAAAGGTGACGCTGTCGGATGCGAGGCATCACCCGGTCTATGTCAGCCTGCAGCTGAATCCTCTTGCGCTGTGGAGACTTAACTACCTGCACGTTTTAGGTCCTGCCCGTACTGCGTGCAACCCAACCGGGAGCCCAAGCAAACGCAGTGACCCCTTGAGACAGCACCTCTCTAAACTCTACCTATTGTAGCAGCGAACCCCCCTGCAAAGACAACAAGCTCCGGCTCAGGCGATGGATGCCACTTCGGCTTTACCAGCTACGCTGTACCGCCTACGTGCTAGCACCCTCGCTCCCTGCCCCTCCTCCTGGCCCCTCCTCCGTCCAACGGACCCGGTGTTACGCACAATCGTCGTCTGGTCTCTGGTTCTCTAGCGTTGTAGTTCCCCAACCCAGTGGGTTTAGAAACCACTAACCCTCGCCCTCGGCCATGGAAGCACTGTCGACTCAGAAGCTGCATGAACTGCGACCGAAAACACGGAGATCGACAAGGACGACTACAGCGCTACAAAAATGAGGGAAGTTGTCTGTCGTGCCAACATGGACTGCAAGCTGGAGGGACCATGGGACTGGGACATCTGCCCCAATACAACTACCACGTGGACACAGATACCATGTGGGGCGATGAGGGCGACTCTGACAAGAGAGGTCCGCGATGCCAACTGCTGGCATGTGGACTAGGCTCAGCATGGTGCGAAGCAACAACAGTGAGGCTGCATGGAACTGGAATTTACAGCATGGCAATTGAAGAATTCGTTACAATGGAGGCGAACACTGGGCCCCACTGCAAGGAAGATGGACCATGCTGCATAAGAACTGGCTTGGTCCATGGAATTCACTTTACAAGGGCTGCGAAGATCACTATTGGAGTTTACTGAGCTGGCAATACAAACACTCGGCGAGAACGAGGCTATACCATGACTGCATGGCATGACCTGTGTAAGGAGAGGCCTGCAGTGATCAGCTGGTGAACTGCGGGATGAAGTTATTGCATGAAAGAGTTTATTGCAGATGCATGGCTTTACATTCAGCTGCATGCGACATTGAGCCTGGGGCTCGAGAGCCAGGAAATGACACTGCATGTGGAAACGACATGACGCCATTGTTGTGCAAGAGGTGATGTATATAGTGTGAGCAGCAGCCTAGGAGTGACGACTTGATATGTGTGAGCTCGACCGATGTCTGCGGCAGACCTTGAAGCGCCTGTATGCTTTAAGCTGACGGTAGAAATTAATGTTTTGGGATGGCGATACGTACCATTCCTATTGCCAAAGTGCAAATCGTCGTGTACGAGGAACCTCGCCCAGGCATGTCCGAAAGTGAGTACTGAAACCTTAAAAACAACCCTAAATCCTAAACCCTTAAACTCTAGGGAAAAAACCCGAAGCCTGAAACGTCTGCAAATTTCCAGGTTTGAGCCCTGGGCTGCCTTGGGGGGTGGCCTTTGGATGTGCGGCAATTTGATACTTAGGCTCTGAGTTTGTAGACTTTAAGAGCCCTTGAGGGTTTAGGGTTTAAGGTTAAGGGTATTGGTTTAGGCAATTTGATACTTAGGCTCAGAGTTTGTAGACTTTAAACGCCCTTTAGGGTTTAGGGTTTAGGGTTTAGGCCAATTTGATACTTAGGCTCTGAGTTTGTAGACTTTAACAGCCCTTTAGGGCTTTTTCTTGGGGTTGTAGGGTTCAGGGTTTAGGGTCTTCCTGGTTTGCGAAGGTCTCCTATAAGGATGTCCTCAAACTTGTAAGGTTGTCAAGTTTATGGTCTGAGTTTACATTTCCAACTTCCCCTCTGGCAAGAAAGCCGAACGCTTCTTTTGGCATACCCAAAGGGTCCAAGTAGCATTATAGTAGGTACTTAGTAGGTATTTGGGCCCCAAAAGTATAGACTATACTAGTACTTAGACCCTTTGGGATAGAGCCCTCATCCTAAACCTTCTGCGAAGCCCAGGATGTGCCCCTACATCATTAAGCTGATCGGCATGGGACTCGGCCTCACAGTCTGGGACTCTTGGGCCGTTCTTAAGGAGCTTTCGTTCCTTGGGGTTGTGATGATACGGACCTATAATGGATCATATGGTTTCCTTGTTTCCATTATCTTGTAACTTGAATAAGTCAGTTTAAGAAACTATAATAAACATCTGAAGTAAAAACAGTATAGTTTTCTTAAACTAAGGCAACTAGGTTCCTTTACAAGAGCCCAGGACTTGAGCAACATGGTCATGGGATGGTTCACGGGGCACTATGGGCTCTTTGGTGTCCAGAAGGAGCATATTGAGAGACCCTAAACCCTAAACCCTAAAACCCTAAACCCTAAGCCCTAAGCCCTAAACCCTAAACCCTGAACCCTAAACCCCTAAACCAGAAGGAGCATATTGAGAGACCCTGGGCGAACTCGATGGGCCTGGGAATGGCCGTCCTGTCCCTTGTTTTCTTCTCCTTGGCAGCGAACTCCGAGGCAAAAGCAGGCGGTGCAACGAGCCCCACGACAGAAGAGACCTGCGAAGATACGAAAACATCGGTAGAGGACGAATCGGATCTTGAGATCCAGATCGCCACGACCGCCCCGGAGACCGTTGGCAAAACAATTCAGGCCGAGAAGGCTCCGAAATCGCAGCCGGACAAGGTGAACCAGTGTCAGAATTCAGACGCCCGCAACTTTGCGATAGGTATTTGCATGGCGCTGGTTGCAGGAGTGTTCTTCGGAACCACCTTCGACCTTCCCACAGCTCTTATGGAGGGGCGCTTCGGAGCCGATCATAGTGAAGCAATCATGGATTACGTCTTCAGCCACTTCTGTGGCATCTTCGCAGCTGCTTCTGCTGCCTTGGTCGTTTATTCGGCTGTGATGCGGGAGAGGCGCTACATGCCCCGCCGCCTGATTCTTCCGGCGATCGCTTCGGGCATCCTCTGGGGTATGGCTCAGGTAGCTTGGTTCCAGGCGAATATCGACCTTGGATTTTCGGTGGCCTTCCCCATCATTGGCAGCCTTCCCGGCATTGTCGGGCTCTTCGTTGGCATGGCCTTCTTCGGAGAGGTGACTCAGGGGCTGAGTAGGTATACCTTTAACTTTTTAGGGCTTTTATGATGCTACTATATAATTCAAAAGGTTAACCTTTTTGGGGCTGGCAACCTTTAACTTTTTGGGGGTTATATGATCTTACTATAATTCAAAAGGTTAGACTTTTTTTGGTGCTGGGGTACTCAGCCCCTAAGGTGAAGAGCTGGAGGAGCCGACTATGGGCCGGCGTGGGTTTGGCACTGCGCGTGCCAGGTGTCGTGCTCATTGCCATTTCCACTTGAGCGTCATCCTTCATTTCCATGACACTAGATGTCTTCCAGCTTTGAGCGCTCCAACTTGGAAGTCTGACTTTTGGGATGCATGCAGTCCGTGTTTTCCACCTGCCGCATGCCAAACGCTGCATTTGCAGCAAGATATTGCAATTAGAATTATCATTATCATTTTCTCCATTCTTACGACCAGCCTGCAGTGGAGCTGCGGTGCTGTCGCTGTACAGTGATGCCTCGTGCGCAGGCTTTGCATCGCCATCAACTCCTGGCAATGGGACTGTCGTGCAGGCAGTCTTGCTTCTTCGTTTGAGGCAGACTGCCTGAATGTACAGGGCAGCGCATGTCAGACGTCCTGCCCATTCGCACAGAGATTGACTGGCCCTTGCCTTGACTACAGCGCACGAGTACGGGCATTCGCGGACCAAAAACACTCCGAGACTCCAACATTCCTTAATTAAGGAATATTCCTTAAATTATAGTAGGATCCCTGATATGGTTTAAGGTATGCTCCTTAATTAAGGGATATTGGAGTTTTTGGGCAGAGTTGGACCAGTTGTTGTGAAACTTTCTCTGCCTTGAGCGAGCCTTAGCGTCCAAGCCCCTTGAGTCCTGAAGTCGACCAGGATGCTGAGACGATTTTGATGCAGCCTGGCAGCCTGTTGGCCCTGCGTTGCTTTGGGTTTAAAGGTTGAGCGCGTGTTGTGATATGGTTGTTTGATATCAAAAATGTGATATAACATATAGTATGAGATTCAAATGTAGCATAATATATATATATATATATATTTAACACACATCAGATCTTATAATCTTTGCGGAATGTCATCAAGTCGACAGTCAATCGAGGTCTGCCTTTTTAGTCCCACATAGGGCAGTGCATAGGCATCCTCCCATGCCGTTGCCTTCTTTTAGGGTTTAGGGTTTANNGGGTTTAGTTAGGTTTCGGTGAATGGCGAGGCATGCTGTAGCAGACATGGCTTGTCCAGCACTCCACACATTATTGTTTGAAAACAATGGCTGCTCATGCCACTCTTAGTTGTTATCTAAACAGGTTTCTTGCAATTCGGATTGTTGTTTTGACAGAAGTGTCAGTGGCACTGCTTTTGTGCCCTTGTACCACATATATTAACCCCTGTGGGGCGCGCCCCCCCCCCCCCCCCCCCC